TAAATCCTACTGGATACAAGACTGAAAACATTTTGCACCAATCACACTTCTTAGAACCCAATGGAACTTCAACTTCCTGAGGTCTCCCTCTATAGATCCCTGCGCTGCCATCAAGAACTCTACACTGTATCACATTGGGGACACCAAGGCTGCCCGAGGAACCCTTTCTCTATACAATGTTACCATATTTATTTCTTTTTTTTCTGTTTTTTTTGTGTATTTGTAGTTCTGTTTGTTTTTTATTTGAAGTTTATAAATTACAAACGAGTGTTGTGTAAGAAATACTTGCTTGTTTATTTTATTTCATGTTGATATTTGACGTTGCTTGTTTCTTTTTTGTTGTTTGTTTGCATTGTAATGTATTTGATTTTCTAATTCAAAGGAGCGGAGGAGGCAAATGGCAATAGCCCATGACAACCTGAGCTAATCTTTGCTGTATCTGGTTGCTAGGGGCTACTGCCCTTGGTCAAGGTAGACTTTGCACTGGTGATATCTGCTGTTATGGGCTTTTTAATTGTCATTAAAAGCGTTTTTAGTTCTACTGCATGGAGTGCATGTGTTTTGTGAAAGGCCACAGGATTGTTTTAAAATGATGTTGGATTTTTTTTTTTTGGATGCATGCTGAGTATTACAAGGTTGGAGGTGGGTGAGAAGGTTTCTGGAGACAGAGTCGGATTTGACTCACCCAGGAGAAAGTAGAGCTGTTGTCCATAGCAACTAGATAGAATTTAAACGTCATTTTACCAATGCAGTTTATACATTTAAAAGGATGAATGGGTAGGGTTGCCATAAGCAACCGCATCCTCTACCCCCAGCTGCCTCCTATCACTCCCATTATGTTACTGTATGCTTAATTGAATCATCACTCAAAAGATTCTACTGTGACGTTGACGTCCCGAGCCAATCAGCTGGTGAGATTCTAGGAAGACAGTTATCCTTCACATCTGGAGTTCAGCAATGTAGTAAGGACTGAGCAATATTAACCAATTCAAGTCTCCATCCCAGGGGAGGACAGCGAGCTAAGTGATTTAACCAGTGCTGGACTCCCTGCTCTCTTACATACCGAACGATACAGCCCTGCTGGGTTTGTTCTTACACGGTGATGGGAAAGAATGGGCTTCATAAAAAAAAAAAAGCCCAAGGATCGATCTCTAAACTCTCTCGGGTCCTGAACGCTTACAGTTATTTAATACTATTATTAATAGCTGAAAAATAAATGGTAAAAGTTCTATTCAGTGTATGCAACGTGCGGAAATATACAGATAATACATGGATTTTTATTATGCAGTTTAAAATAGTTGGA